AAGGGGACAACATAGGAAATGTAAATAAATCATCCAATAAAAAAAAAATAATATGTTGACAGGTTCTTAGGGGAAAGACCTATTTATTATTAGTTTATTTATTATTTATAATAGGTTATATTTACAGTATATAGGATATATCATTCATATATTATTACATTAGACCTACTTATTATTAGGTTATTTATTATTTATATTAGTTTATATTTATATTATGTAGGTTATATTATTTCTATATTATTAGGTTAGACCTATTTATTATTAAGTTATTTTGCTGCAGGTCTAGAGACTCCAAGCCCCAATGTTACTTTAAATAAATTCATAGACGTCACTTTTCCACCAGGTCCTTAACTGTGTGTTTCTAGGACTTCACAAATAGATACAAACTTACTCGTTAAGCTGACCATCAGTGTAATGGCCACGTCTTGCAGGAGATACTGGTAATTACCAAAGAGCTGAAGTTGCTGGGGGGAAGAAAACAGTGTAAGTATCACGTCTGTTATAGTGGTTCTCATTTATGGTGCTCCTTAAAAAGCACTCTGCAAGCAGTTGTTGTTTCTTTCTTCTTTTCAAATAGAAAATATAGACCTAAAAATATCAGTAGCTCATTAGACTAAATGACCCCAGTAGCTATTTTCCCAGTCATTTCTTTATAACCAGTAGCTCCATCAAAACCCTACCAGCCTCTTACTGGTCACATTACCCTTGGCAGGCATCGTCTCAGCCTGGACAGCTGAATTCTCAACACAAGCCTGAAAGTTTCTAATGGGATTTTAAGCAGAATTTAAAGTCAAGGCCTCAACTCCTTCAACCTGTGTTGGTCTCCACCTTGAGGAGGGACTGAATGATAACAGTGAGTCTGGAACTCACTCATGTTCCCAGATTGAACACAGCCTCTCCCTAAGCCAGTGCTTTTCAATCTTCCTAATGCTGAGACCTGCTAATACAGTTCCTTGTGGTGTGGTGAACCCCCGACCATAAACTTATTACCACTGCCACTTCATAACTGTAATTTTGCTACTATTGTGCGTTGTAATGTAAATATCTGTGTTTTCCAATGGCCTTAGGTGACTTCTGTGAAAGAGTTGTTTGATGCCCTCAAAGGGTATCAAAGGTTGAGAATCACTGCCCTAAATAAACTCACTGCAGACTTTAGCTCACTACCTTTGCCTCCCTGAGGTCTGGGTACACACAGCACTTAGCTTTTCAGTTCACATGTTTGGAGCTGAACTCATAAGGCCAAAAAGCCATTATTCTTTGGGAATGTCCATGATGGTTCTTGAGCAGCCAGGCCTTCCAACATGCGCCACAGCTAGTGACCGACTTCCACACCGTGATCTGATCCTGAGCGTGTGTGGCCGATGTCTGCATGTGAACGTACCCTGGCCTTTTCAAAGACTCTGCAGTCGCTTCTAGGTTGAGGAGCTTGGAGAATGACCTCATGCGGCTCTGAACAGCTGGACAGCTGCTGAGTGGATTGATTGCAACTCCACCACAGACCCTTCAGCTCTGTACTCAGTTTTATGAAAAAGTAGGTACATTGTGCCCTCTGATTCCCAACTTTTCCTCATTTACCCACCAGTGCCCTCCCCACCATAACACATGCCCATGTGCACACATGCTCGCTCACACACGTGTGTGTATGTGTGTGTGTGTACACATGTGCTCTTGAGTATTAAACATATACTGTGTGCACTTGTATGTGTGTGTGCATGTGTGTGTGTACACATGTGCTCTTGAGTACTATACATATACTGTGTGCACTTGTATGTGAAGGGGTGTGTGTCCATGTACTTATGTGTACAGGCCAGAGGTCAGTATCAGGGGTCTCCCTCTATGGGGGTCCCCATTTTATTTTTTTGAGACAGTCTCTTATTGAACCTGGAGCCTGGCTGGCCGTCAAGTCAGGATGTTCCTGTCTCTGCCTTGCATCACTGGAAATATAGGTGTGTGTCATCAAACCCAACCTTTGATGTGGGTGCTAGGAATCAGAACTCATCAAACCCTTAACTGACCGATTCAACGCTGAGGCCCCTGGTTACTTCCTCTTATCCTTTCTCCTTTGAATGGCAAGATCATACATACACAGAGACACAAGAAAACTATCCAACAGGATCCTTAAATTTTGCAATGTGAAAAGCTATCGTAGAACTATGGAGACCTTAAAAGTAAGTCATTAACTTTCTAGAGGGGGGAGTTGGCCAAGGGTAAGACCCCACTTTGCATGTTAGATGAAGGTAAGGCTTGGATAGGGTCTCCTTATCCCTCCCCACCTGACAGCCATGTAGCCCCCCACTTATGTCCTTGCCAGCCGGAACTGACAAGATGCCCCAGTCCCTGCTCTCTCCGTTTACCTCTGAGTCATCCTCCCAAAGCAGTAAAACAGCTTCATTCCCCAAGTGTCCTCTGAGGGTGTTGGATCATTTTATTATAGAGCAAACTATGCTTGAAACGATGCAGATTATTTTTAATCTATGCATAGCTTCTGTGTGCTAAATGGCTATTACCATTTGATTTTTTTAAATTCCTTTGTCATTTTTAAGGAATTTCTATTCTTTGCTGATAATGTACCTAACACTATTAAATTCTGGGTAGGTTCAGGTGCACAGCCCCAGCATGGGAGCTTTTCAGCATTGCTGTCCTACCAAATGAAATACAAACTCTTCTCTTCCATTTTATCGCTTTTGAGTCGTCTTGCCAAAAATATTCCACAGTTGGAGGCAGATCCATTTCCTGCCAAGTTATATTTAGGCTTCTCTCAAACCCTGTTTATTCCCAAAGGAAGAGATGGGATTGCAGAGGTCAAGAGTTTCAGGTTATCCAGAGAAAACCAACACCCTAGACAACATATCCAGTAGTACTGACTTCTGACCTTAGGCTACAAGAAACACCCCAGATTCCAAAGTTTGTAGGCACCTGTTTCTGGGGAATGTCATGCATTTATAAACATTAAAGGGGGTGTAGGATCCACATCCCAACACTATGAATACAATTAGAAACTGAGAAGAAATGAATTTAAATCTTACCCAGTACAGAAGTGATGTTCCAATAAACTGGATGATTCCGTACATGGTCAAGTATTTAAATACGCCGAAGGATGAGACCAGAGCAGCCCGGCCCTCCCTGTTGAGAACAAACACAAAAACTGCTGACGTAAGCCACACAGCCCTAGCCTTTATACTTTAAAAGGAACTCAGTTTAAAAAAATAGTTAATTCTTTGCCAATGTGTATAATACATAATATAATTAATATAATACATTATATACATATTTCACATATGTATATAGTGTGTGTAATACATTTTAGAACTTGTCTCTCCGCCCTCCCTTATCCCCTTCCCACCCTTACCAAATCCTTAACCCCTTGCACCAAGTCCTCCTCTCACTTTTGTGTCTTTTGCTTATAGTTTTGTTTCTGCTTTGGTTTAACCTGCTCTGTTTAGCCAGAGCCACCCTCGTGAGCACCAGTGTGAAGCTAACCATTGAGACACGAGTAACTCACCAGCGGTGACATCTCTGAAGACATCGCTTGACTGGCAGCAGCTCCCTTGGGCAGAGAAGAGCCCTATGAGGCTGCTCAGTAGAGCTCGTGAGTAGATGTTTAGGGATTGGGTCTTGTGCGTGCCCTATGCAGTCAACTGCAACTGGTATGAGTTCATGTGTGGGGCCGCCATCTTGTGCTCATAGCATAGACCAATTTTCTTGTCTCCCATTCTTTCTGTCCCCTCTTCTGATGAGGACCCCAAGCCTTAGAGAGTGATATAAGTGTTCCACCAGAGGAGGCAATATGGGTGACCCACTTAAGGCTGAGCAAGTTGTTCTTGTTTAATAGCTTGTTGATATATATTCACTTAGCCACCTATTCATTCTTTCAACTACTTTTTAGTTTATGTTTAGCTTTTTACAGTGCTGGAAAAATCCAAGTCCTTCTATATACTAGGCAAGTATTTTACCAGCTATATACCAAGAAAACTACATAATCTTTTTGTATGTTTTATTAAGTTTTGTGTGTATGTGTATATGTGTGTGTGTGTTATGCATGTTAGTATACAGGTACATACACCCATACACAAACTTGGAGAGGCCAGAATAAAATGTCAGGTGTCTTCCTTCATCACTCTCTACCTTAGTGACTTGAGACAACATCTCTCACTGAGTGGGAAGATTATTGTTGGGCTAAGTGGCTAGTGGCTGAGCTATCAGGGACCACTTGTATCTGATCCCAAACAGTAGGGTCCCAGGCAAACAAAGCTATAGCAGGATTTTTATGTCAGTGCCTGGGATTTGAATTTGGATCCTTATGCTTGTGTACCACTGAGCCATCTCTCCAGTCTCTTGTTTTATTCACTGAACTCCAGAAGCTTCTACCTCCCGAATGCTGTCTAACTGGCATCCACTGGTCTATGCAGTGCTGGGAATCAATGTCAGCACTTATCTGTGATAGGCAAGCACCAACTAATTAAATCCCATAACCTATTCAATCTTTCATTCATTTGGGCAGTCTATTCCTCAATCCTTAATTCCCTCCTTGATTCTTGATCTACTTTTTACTTAGGTCTTATGAAGTACTAATATTACACCAAGAATCATTATAAAGGGACAGAAACAGAATCAGGCCCTGTTTCCTCCCTGAAGTAAGAATGTCATCGTATAAAGTCTAAGCATAAGGTGCATTATAATGACCTGCAGTGTCAAGCATCGACTCAATCTTAATTTCTTCTATCTCAACATGCTTACTAGAATTGAGTGAGTTTTAATGGCTCTCAGACACACAGAGCTAAGGTCAGTGCTCTTGCAGTTTACAAAGTTTGGATGCATCTCTAAAATGGAGTCCTGGTGGTTTTTGCCATCTGTGATACTGCTGGAAGAAATCAAGGTGTTATTCTGAGCTGGTGAAGAGATCAAAAGACCAAGACTATTGTAGAAACCACAGCTTGGAAACTGCATATTCATCCTTTGGAGGAACAAGAACTGGCTTCTAGCTGAGGGTTTTTTGTAGAGTAGTGGATCAGCAGACAGTGTGAGAATGTAGTATGTTGGCTCTGCAGCTTACCTTTGACAAGACAGACATGAGCCCACATGGCTTTAGTTTGTTTCCAGTCCCTAGTGACATTGGTACCTGCTCAGCTCAAAGATGTTACAACTACATCAAAACATAAAATGGTAGACCTGGAAGCCAAATGACTAACTTCTTGCCTCAGGCAAGATGGGTGATAGGTTGGGAGTTGGGCCAGGCTACTTCCGGCAGATGTTTCCCACCAGGCTGTGAACAGCTAGCATTTGTTTTTAACAAAGGATGGAGAAAAAAAAAAAACAGGAAAGAACCAAAGCCTGGATTGTTTTCCCAAGTCTGACATAAACATTATGATTTCATCCTTTTCCCCCTGCAATTGTATATAATTTCAAGAAAATTAAGACAGCCAGATTCAAAACAAAGTACAAAATGTGGTTCTAAGGGCAAGACAAAAGCTGTGTTCGTGAGCTTCCAAGATCACTGCTATTCCTAATGATTATGAATTTCAGTAGCTTGTACATTTATCTGCATATCCTGCAGCTACCCATCGAATTCTCTGCTTAGAGCTAGACAGCAATACAGAAATAATAATAATAAAAAGATACTGCTTTTCCCACAAGGACTTGAACTATAACAAACAGTGGCTCTTACTCCAAAGAATGACAAAGAAACCAGTAGACCTAGACCTATACATGTAAGACTTGTACCACATCACCCTTCTAGGGTTCTTTCCCAGGAATAAGCATGTGTAGTGAATACCAAAGGGTAAAATGAGCCTTACAGAGCTGAACACTGAACCATATCTAATTTTTCAAAGCTATAAAATACAGAAACAAAGAGAATCTACCCTGAACTCTTAATAATAAATCATCTACCACTCCCAGAAATCTTATATCATGACTTGTATTCTAAACCAACATACTGCATTATAAATACATTCCAGATGCATAATACATCAGTCACAGTTGTGCTTTAGAGGCACAGGGGATGATGGTGCTCAAGGGTACAGAAGAACACAGATGTAGATGCCCAGGGAAAAGGACATGAGATCCAGCTGCCTGGTGGATGTGTGGGAAGGGCATGGTATTTCAGGCCCGATGCCATCCCACCAGTCACCCTGTGCTCTGAGGCACCAACAATGTGATAGAGAATCAACTGATTGTCCTTTCAGAGTAAGCTGTGTGATAGCTTTCAGCCCGTGGGCCCTGGAGATACCCAGTTACCACCAGGTAATCTAGGAACAGCAGGGGGAAAGATTTATGAACAAAATATATAACTGGATCCTTTATCTTTTGTTACACTTAAAATGTTAGTAGAAATGAATTCGAAATGCGTTCATTGAAGGAAAACAAATATATGTCCCTCCTTCCTAATCTCCAGTGAAGTTTAATACCTCCTATGACAACATCCTGGTGTTTCTGAATGTTTATTTTAGAAGTATACAATAGTATTGGCAGAAGCTGTCTAATGATGCATTCTTATCCTGCCCTCTCACCCATCCCAAACTCCTAGTCAAATATTACAGAAGGTATTCAATATACAAAGTTAAGGGAAAGAGAAGATATGCAATCAGGTTTTAAATATCAAAGAAAGCTTTCAACAGTCTACCTGACACACCCATCTATTTCTTAAAACTGGATGAGTCACTGGATGGACAAGTCACTTTTTTTGTGAGTTTGTTAGTGCTTGAAAAAGCAACAGAAATCATTCTTTGGCTAGGGGTCCAACAGAACTAGGCCTGCCCCAACACTTGCCCTAGATCCACACCTGCCCTCGACATTATGACTTAGTGTTCAATTCTGCCTGCTTCCAGAGCCAGACAATGAGCCACAGTGGTGAGGGATAGGGGAAGCTTCGGCTTACCTGATGAGATGAGGCACACACTCGATGTTGGCTGTTTTTGAGGTGAAGGGAGATGCCACAGATGCTTCCTGTTCTGATAGCGAGATGCCCGCGTGAGCCATTTTCAAAGCCTGGAATTATTCATCCAAGTCAAACCATGACACCTCAGACCAGGCTTTTCTACTCAAATACAAAGCTGTTTGTTGCATGTCAGTGTCAGTTATAACACTGTATCTGTCCATATTCAGGTCTCTGTTCATAAGCTCTTTCATCCATATAACGTGTCTCTCCTGATCCATAAAGTCACCATGGAAGAGAAACCGACTGCAGCATGATCCACAGAAGGGTGTATGCACACATGTGCAGGTTTCCACACATGCATATATAGTATACTAGCTGTGTGGCCCATGTATGGCATCAGCAAATAGAAGCGCTCATTCAAAACTTCTATAAAAGGATGGGGAAAGGGTTGGAGGGATATCTTAGCTTAGTAGTTCTCAGCCTTCCTAATGCTGTGACCCAACTGTTATGAATCGTAATATAAATATCTGATACACAGTATATCTTACATGCAAACCCTGTGAAAGGGTCATTCAACCTCCAAAGGGGTCATGACCCACAAGTTGAGAACCACTGACTTAGTAAGCAACAGCGCAACAGCCCATACTATTCTTTCAAAAAAAAAAAAAAACCCAAGTAGTTCAGTTCCTAGCACCCACATTGGGAGGCTCAGAGTTATTGTAATTCTAGGTCCATGAAATCTAATGCCCTCTTCTGGACCCTTCAGGCATTTGCACATGTGCATGTATACACACACACACACACACAGAGAGAGAGAGAAAGAGAGAGAGAGAGAGAGAGAGAGAGAGAGAGAGAGAGAGAGAGAGAGAATGAAAAACAATATAAATCTTTAAAAAAGAATGGCAGAATCTGGACGGCCATAGATAGGAGATTTACACCATCTTAGTTTTTACACTTAGTGGGACCATCCTCATGGAAAAAAAACAGGAAAGATATATAATCATAACTTTCTTTGCTGACTGATCCAACCAACTAGCTAACTGCCAGTAAAGAGTGTGGGCACACAGCATCACCATTCAATGCCCAAATCAGGCCAAACACACCCACGGGCACATGGTGTTACATGTGGTACTTCACAGAGGGCTCCTTTATTTCTTCTGATGAAGGATAAAGGCTGTCCAGAAAACACACAACAGACTAGCCCATAGGCAAGCCAGAGAGCCCAAAGGAAATTTGTATTCAGGTTGCTCTGTAGGGCTTGATAGGATAGTTTGCTTTGCAATAGATTGAAAGAGTCCAGTTCAGTTCATCTTAGAACAACAGCTCTCTCCTCTTTTCTCCCTCAGTATTTATGCCTCTATTATGTAGTTTAAGATTGTCTGCCATATGGTAGGGTTAATTCATGCATGATTCCTCCATCAGATGATCACATTTTGGAGGAACAGAGATTGTGACTTTTTGGTTTTGTTTTTTTTTTTGCTATAAATGTCACATAATTAATAACAATAGCTGTTCACCCTAGGTTGGATGAATGGGCTGTGTTTCTTATGAAACATGGGTAAAAAAAAATGTACACTAAGTCTTTAAGTATGAACACATTTTTTTCACAGACATTGGAAAAATATTTAAGTGGAAGTTAAAATGAATAGACAGATTTGACATTTCTAATAAGCTTTGAAAATTAAAGCGCTTTCCCTTTTCTCTCTGTTCCCCTCACTCCTCCTTTTCATCCTCCTCTTCCTCTGTGCACTGCTTTGATGGGTTTAGCATCCTTCATGCTAGGTAAAAGCGCTACTACTCAGCTATACCCCCAGCCCTGCTCTTCCATTCGTGCACCACAGGTAGCTATTAAAGTACATGAATAGTCTTCACAGTCAACCGGTATTTCACCCATGTCTTCAAAAATCAGAATATAAAATATATACTCACCTTCTGCTGGGAATGAAGAGTAACCTGACTCACTTTATTTTAGTTTTGCTACAGAGTGTGAAAACCATACCATTTAGGATTTCATAACAATATGGGAGAAACCTAATTTTCAAAAATTAACCTCAGAGTGGGCTTGGAGGGAATAAATGCAATTTACACATAATTAAAAACTTTATGAATTCCAAACTTTTTCTTCTCTAAGGCTTTACCAGCTATTCACCTGGTACAAAAGCATATCATCTCCCAGAGGCTTCCTCTCTTTATAAGTAACATTAAAGGCTTAATGTGTTAACCTTAAGGCTTAAACCAGATAATGTTGCAAAGTCCCCAATGGGTCTAAACTTTGGGAGCATCAGCAGCTTTGCTTTATTAGTCTGAGAATTGCCAGAAGACAACAGAAAGAAGGCTGAGCTCTTTCTGTTTCCAACCCATGCTCAGGGAGAGGTGAGCATAACCAAGTGGCTGCCAAAGGAAGGCTGAAGAGGCCCAAGGGGGCCTTGGAGAGAGCTCAAGAGAGATTCCAAAGTGCTGTTCGTATTCCCAAAAGTCCTGTGTACTCACCCCACAGTCATTGGCTCCATCTCCACACATGCCCACATAATAACTACAGAGAAAAAGACACAAAAATCAACAGGTCAGGAGGTCCCTTGAATCACTTCCATTATAACTAACTCTGTGTGTGTGTGGGTGTATGTGTCCTGAACAGATGTGGAATCAAGAATATAACTTGGAGAATATTGGTCCGAGAGGGAAAAGGCCTCTGACTTAATTTGTCTCAATCACTGAAATGACAGTGATGACACCAGGAACATCAGCAATGACAGTAATCACACACTTGAAAAGAATGTCAGGTTGATTGTGTCCACCCTATCAAGCTCAATAGCAAGGGGTCATGATTATAATGAAGTCGTGATTGTAGCACTTCTCACTCAACCTAATAGACAGAGCACAGCCTAACCTGGCCAAGCTGCTCTCACCACAACCAAGAGTTCAGTTTCAACATTAGAAGGGCTTAGCAGATACAATCAGAGCATACATGTGTTCTTGGTGTGTCTCAGAGTAGCGGTGAGGTAACTTGTACCCCATGTTTATCTGCTTGGTTTGCACCCAGTATCTAAGTGGAAGGATAAAACTTAAAGTTGCTGCCAGGGAAAAGAAATTTCTTATGCAAGGTCCATTGAACCTTCTACTACAACTGAATGACACTTATCGACAGTGACTAGTGGCAATGCTTTAAACGATTTTCCAAAATCAGATCATAAGCGATAAAAGTCAAGTTCTGTTATGATATCCCTATTATTAGTTGGCCCATAAGAAGTTGCCCTTTTGACATTTCTATAGTTCAAACACGGTCCAATGTAGACAAATTCAGCCCTGACATGCTGGGCTAGTGAAATCACGAACATTTGCATACTGTGTCATAGTGTCAACGATACCTGGAATCATCTAATTGGCTTCCTTCATTTAGAGTTGCTTGATATGCATTGCCAACGGTAAGACCACAAAGAGGAAGACAGGTAACTGAGATGACAGCTCATTCTGTCACAGTATGTGCCTTCCTAAGCTAATTGTGTTTTAGGGGAATGTGGCTTTCAGAGTGTCAGTCAGTATTGCTCAGGCATTGAGACAGGAAGATTATTCTCTTCAGCCAATGTCATGTAATGACCCTGTAAATGAGCTAACCCCTGGCTACTTACCCAGTCTGAGAGCACAGTGGGGCTAATGGAAGGCATTTGAGACTTTGCTAAGGAGCTTATCTGGTAAAATCTGATAGGAAGAGGCAGTCTCCTGAACTGATGGCGTGGCCACTCTGTGCCTTTTTACTATCTGAAACCTTCAGACTAGAAACTGTAATTGGGCAAGGAATGAATAGGTGGGTCCAGTGTTAGTGAGAACTCCTCCGTTCAGACCCAACTTGGTCATCAGTGCTTTGAGAGGGTTCTGAATCTCACCCCGTATCTAGTCCCTGCCAGCTGCCATTTCAGTCCATGCCAACAGGGTCTGAAAATACCATGCATCCTCTAACAGATCAAGCTGGTGACTTTGGGAGGGAGCTCACACACTTTCCTGCCATTCTCATCCTGAGCTACACATGCCCACATTACTTCTCTCAGCATCTAAGCAGGCAATACTCCTGTAAGATGGATTTTATGGGCCACAAAATGAGTGTTCTGTGGGGTAGTCAGTGTCTAAAATGTGCCTCAACTGCCCCCATCTCCTGAACTTCATGTTGCTGTGAAGTCCACTCCCTTGAGTATGGGCAGGACATAGTGACTTGCTTCTAATGAAGAGCAGTCACCAAACTAGTCTAAGATTAGGGAATGAGAGACTAACACCATCCATTCCTCTCCCCCTCTCTCCCCATCTCCCCTTCATCCCTCTGCTCCAGTATTACACTTGATTTCTTGATTTCTGTAGCAACATTAGCCTCTTCCCTATGAAGTGACTCATATCTCAGGAAGCTGAGACTGGCCTCCTCCTACTACCTGTGTCTTTATTCCAACACACAAAAGGAGCTTAATCAGGTGAGGGAGGTGGCGGAGAGCCACCCCCACTAGCACAACCACTCCTGGCTGGACACCACTTTATGTCCTTTCGTAATTAGAACCTTGGGTTAGGAATCAAGGCTTACCTGAGGCACATCTGGATACCTGATCCATAGAAACCTAAAACAACTAAGGATGCTACCCTCAGATGCTATGGAGTGAGCAGCTCTACTGCCATACAGAACCAGTGCGTGCTCCTTTCCTGCCCATCACCTACTTTAATTTCTGAAACTCTTCCACAAGGCTTGATTTCTGCCCAGGAGACATTCTTGCAAAAATGGTTCCATTAACCAGAATCTAAAGAGGAAAAAACAACCGTCATAGTAAGATTAGGAAGGAGACTGTTTCAAAAATGAAAGTCCTGAAAATCACTCACAGCCACTGGTTTAACACAGTGTGTGTGGCATTAGACCCAACGCCAGGGAACGAGGATGAGGGATGCAATGCTTTATTTAACATTGAACTTTAAATCCTCCATCACAGCTCCATTACTTTTTTCTGGGCCCAATCCCTTTGTTTCCTCCCCCGCCCCCCCCCCCCAGAAGGGGAAACTTTTCATTAACATAGCAGCTAGGAGATAGGAGGCAGTTAGAATCGAGGACAATTGTTTGGGACATGAAGCTCATTTTACTATCTGTTTCCGCAGACAGGGTGCAACAAACCAGAGGTGAGAGGTGAGTGTCTGCTCCCAGAACTTGCTGTGCAAGCCTTAGGTGAGTGGCTTAACCTCTCTGAGGTTCAGATTCCCACCTTTACAATACAGACTGGAAGAAAAGCTGTCTCAAAGCCTTTAGGCCTCAAATTCTTTGATCCCTAACTTAGCAAGGAAGCTAAGGTGGCAGAATATTTTAGACTCTGCTAAACAGATCATTGCGACCCTCAGTGTATATGCCATGTGTCTCCACCACACCGACAGTGCAACCCTGTCCAGCACGATTTTAAAGCAGGACACACGGAAGACAGGATAATAAATGATTCTGAGAATAAACTGTAGTGCATTTTGTTGCCCTTCTGCTGTGATTTAAGGCTCCAGACAGCAGGGGACTGGCGCTCTGCCTGACATAGGCTAGTGGCTTTCAGAGATGCTAATGCAGGTAGGGCTGATGTGTGGATCTACTCTGAGGTGGTCTCAGGGAAGATAGGGAGGGAGGGA